AACTGAACCTTACTGTGTGATACTTTAGAATCATCATTAGAATATTTTATAATATTTTGATGGGAATCACAGCGGGAACAGGTGTCTGAATGTGGACGATGAAAGCTTAAGTTAAATTCGCTATTGAAAATATGTCGATAGTAAGAGAGCTTCACAGGAATCTTGTTTTCCTCTTGGCAAGTAGTTTTGTATAAGTCATACATAATCTTAATATTTAAATCGGGTGACAAGTATTTCGTCTGAGAATTTTCTTTTCTAGAATAATGGCTTGTGTATCTAGGAAACCTTTTAATATGATTGATTACAAAATTGCGTTGCTCATTTTCCATCCTCCTGTGAGTTTGTCCTTTTCCTCTTTTGTCTGGCTCAGCAATACCAAGCTGATTAGTTTTACCACATACAGATGTAAATCTTTTACTTGATATATCAAAAGTTTTTAGAAAAAATTGTTTACAAACACGCTTTTCTAATAAAAATATATTTGTGCTAAATTTTCTTTCGTTTGTGCTGTCAATTTTCTTCCTATTTACGTTAGTTTTTTTTATGCATGATGATAAAAAAGCAGTCTGATGATCATATGACGGTAAATCATAGAAGGCTTTAAAAAGTTCTTGTCTGTTTTCTTCACAAATATTTATATTGCATTTGTATCGACATGTATGCTGATAGGGTTGCAGTGACTTATTTTTATGCACCTTGTTGTTAGACACATACTCTTTACCTGCAGTTCTAGAGCGTTTTATTTTGTTGATCTTCCATTCAGATGGACGTCGCAGTCTTTTTCTTGTTTTATCTGGAGTAATATGAAGCACCTCATCTGTTAAAACTCCTTCAGCGGTATCAGAGTCAAGATTGTCTTCATTTGCGTCTGATCCGGAAGTAGATGATGGAACGTATTCTTCGTCTTCATCCGTATAGTAAGGATCTGAAAGTATAAAAATAATTTGTAACTTGCTGTGACACTATTCAAATAATAAAAACGATATTGTTACCCGTAACTGTACTTTAGTTTATTTTCGTTTCTGTGAGGTAGTAGATGTTTCTTCTGTTATATTTGCAGTGATTATAGTTTAGTTTATAGTTTACTACTGTACATTGTTTTATAATTTACAACGCGAGATTAAACTTTTAAAATACCTAAAATTTTTTGGATTCTTTTTATTTATGTCTTCACTATAATAATTCTACGTCCCTAATTTATTTTTGCTTCTAATTATGCATAAATATTAAATTTTCCAAAGTAAAAATACTTAAAATAGGTATATATATTTAATTTACTAAATTAAGACTACGAAAAAAAACGCTTTTTTTTTAATATGCCCTGTCATGAAAAATACACTTATTACGCCCCTTAAAATATTTTTTAAATTATTTTACATTCTTAATCGAATTAAACCGAAATAACAAAAAATGGATAGTTTTTTAACAGTAACCCCGAAATTAATATGTGCATAAGTATTTAACAATTTTATGCAGATATAGATAATAATGGAAGAAATATAACCACAAAGTTTTATTGTTAACCTTTTGGATATTAATCATAGCTGTAAAATAAAATAATAATCAAAGGGGCTTACCTTCGGTCCTTTCCATTTTTATTTTTTGGAAAAACAGCTCGTAAATCGATGAACTAATCAATAAACTACTAACACAATCGTAGCACGTGTTTAGAAAAAACAGTTAGTTCTTCTAGGAATAGGAAGGGTTACAATTACATAAATGGGTTTTTCGGTTGGAATATCAAGGATGCAAGTGCGTCTACACCCTTTCTATTCCAACGGAAACTGCACCTTCATTCATCTAATTTTTCTACTATGCAATAGATGGCTCCAAATGTATTAAAAATCACTTCTCGAATTTTTATTCTAATAAATATGTACCTTATCTGTTCAGAGCCGTACTTATCTCGAAATATGTCAAAAATGCACTTGCACCCTTTTTATTCTAACCCCTTCAATTATAATATAAACCGGTCGCTAATATGTATACAAATTAATAACAATTTCAAGATTTCCCGAAGTGGATGCTTTTGAAATCTACCACCAGGCGTCGCCCACTTTGCGGTTCCTCTCGAATAAACTTATAAGCAAATATCACGAGTAAAACTTGTAAACATTTACAAAAGGTGGTATTGTTAAATCTAAGACTTCAGAAGGAAGATTATCTGTCTTTTTTGGGGAATCTCTCTGAGGCTGTTGATTAGAAGGTCAGATGTGATCAAGAACATATTGAGTAGATCCCTGTTGGAGGCAACACATTACCGCTTTTGAGTGTTGTGCTCTTGTAATCTTCTGCTATCTTTACTACGAGCTTTTTGGGATTCTTCAGAAAGCTTCCAATTGACAGAAAAGCGGATTGAATAACATCTGCACTGTGCACCAGAATGTTTGCATAGCAACAGGCATATAATACCATGAATAAAGACTTAAGCTTTCTAGTGTCTTGTGCTAAAGTTAGAAATGTTTCTGTTTAAATATAATAACCAGCAGATAAAGCTCTTAGTAAAGTGACAAATTTTGTTATAACTAAGGCTAACATCTAAAGCTGTACTGTACTGAACTCTGCATTCCAAGAGAATCTTTGGGCAGTAAAGGCGTAAAATGACGGAAATACTTGATGTACTGCTTTCATGATCCACTTTCGAGTCTGTTTATATGAATGACTAGATGACTTAGAGTCCCGATAATATTCTAAAGCTTCTTATTTCGTTTCTGTAATCAGATATTCACGCTGAAACTTCAGCAGCAACCACTAACTCGGTTGTATCTCGCGCTTTAACTAAGTCATTAACTCATCTCATTTTGCTTTTTCGCTGCACTCGTGAAATTATTTTCGTAGCCGCCCGGATGTGGTAATCATACCAGATGTGGATGGCTCAGAATGTTAAAGGGAGATTCAAAAACGTAACTCTCCTGCCATGCAATCTGAATTATTTGATAGGAAGTATTCTCGGCTTCCTATTTTTTGATAAATTTTGATGAAAATCGGTAAATATTGTAACGGGTAGCTCTTTCGGGGCGACAGACTTAGTAAAACACAGGTTGAAATAAAAATAAATCTATTAATTTAACGTATGTACAATAAAAATAAAAATAAAATTAATTATCCGCCGTATATACAATAAAAATAAAACGAATCCTTCGTCCCCGTCTGGATCCCGCGATGAAGGAATTCCCCGGCGAACGTCTATAAAAGAAAGAAAAGTTATTATTAATAACAAAACAAATAAAATAGGTGAATTCAATCGCACGCAAACTTATACTTGCTTCCGCTTTAATTCAGCGGGAGCTCCGAACGAACTCTCAAATTAAATATTCGGCTGTGCAGGCCCCACGGTAAAGTTCAATACACAATATTGATGGGTTCTGCTTGGTTAAGGACAGAGTATGATCCTCTATACGGATATATCTCTGTCCGGGTTGGCTCGCAGGTTCAGTACACCGGCGAATCGAGGAGCCTAAGCCGCTCTGGATCCCACTTCGCCGTCTCATTGAAGAAGTGGATGCGCAAACATTGACACTCCCACGGTTCAAACTGTTAAACGGTCAGAACATCGTTACAATATAATTCTGTGTTTCTCTCACTGATGCTTCTGTAAAATCCAGCAAACCAAGCTTCAATGACAAAAACTTGTATAACATCCAGTTTCCCTATTGAAATAGAGTATATGTATGCTGAAAAATAATTTAAAAAAATGGTTTTACAAAAATGTGCTGATAAAATTTATAATAATTAGAAAGCAGAGACTAGCAGGTATTACGTGAACAAATTGTAGCCCAGGGGCATGTTCTTATACACAGCAAAAATCAAGAAGCATGTGGATTTAAATTTGGGATTGTGTCTTAGATTTCTTACCCCTGTCCCAGCCAAAATGTTCTAATCGAGGGGTGAGAACCATAGGGTTCCAAGCGACATTTACAAATTTTTCAGGAAACGAATTTTGAAGTTTGCTGTCAAAAAAATGGATCTGACAAAATTTACTTTGCCAGATATGTTATATATTATTAACTTTGATGGTACACAAGGCAAATATCGAACACAGTAGTTAATCAAATCTTGCCCAAGTACTTTCGATCACAAGATCATCCTCAGGGGCATTTCGTCAGTTGTGGCCTATCCAGCAGTAATAGAATGTTATAAATGTAAATTGGGACATAACAAATACACTAAACAAAGACAAACAAACACTTTAAAATTTAAGAAATGGAGAAGCTACATTTTATATAGAAGCCGGAGACAGAATCATTTTATTCATTTTATATAGAAGCCGTCATTCTGTCTCCGGCTTCTATATAAAATGTAGCCTCTCCATTTCTTAAATTTTAAAGTGTTTGTTTGTCTTTGTTTAGTGTATTTGTTATGTCCCAATTTACATTTATAACATTCTATTACTGCTGGATAGGCCACAACTGACGAAATGCCCCTGAGGATGATCTTGTGATCAAAAGTACTTGGGCAAGATTTGATTAACTACTGTGTTCGATATTTGCCTTGTGTACCATCAAAGTTCATTTGTTCGAACATTCAACCTTATATTGATTATATATTATTGTTTAAAGATTTGGTTTTACAGTAATTCATAAAACAATGCTGTCGTTGTGGTATAAAATGCAAATTTCAATATTTTTTCAAAATATTACACTTAAAACGTTGTGTCCCTAAATAAATTTGTAGTTTTAAACATATGTCATCATTGTAGACTTTACTGCCTTGTAGCATTAATGATAATAATAGCCTATACAATGAATGTAGAAGAATTTTTAAAAACATAGGAAAAAAAAATTGACGAAGAATAGAAAATTAACTTTTATTTATAAAAAATCTTTCGTTTCAAAAATTAAACATTTTATGTAATTCCGATCTTCCGGTGGCATCCATTTATACTCAAACTCATGCTTGCCTGTATGCTGAAGCTTTTTCTCAGTTAAAGATTTGGGTTTTGTGTTATTGTCCGGAGCTACTACAAAGTTAGCAGTGGAATTATTTATGGGAACCACTCTATGTTACTTCCTAGTACTGATGGTAACTTTACTAACATTGACTGTAGAAAATTATCGAGAATGGATATTATCGACAACCTCTATGCAAGAATGATCAGGTATGGAGTATTTCATAGTTACCATTTGGATACTAGGATATATGTTTAGGAAGTCACTGATTGCTACTGAAATCAGGAGGTTACTGTGTTGAGGAATACAACTATCACTCCACGTGGCGCTCTTATTTATTTCCGGATGTTTTAAAACTACTTTCTTTAAAATTTGTATTAGGGCACTAGACAAGACTTCAAAGACTTTAGATTTAGACAGTTAAGTTCTGTTTTTTTTTCATTATCACGTTCTTGGCGCATTATTAATTTCTGTGTAATGTTGGAGTAATATGTCTGTTCCCCTTCTGCATGCACCCTGTTTCTTTCTTGACTAATCTATAGCCCTCGTAGACGTCACATCTATCCGTTTTCGGTTGCAAGAACTCTAGATTATGCTCACAATTAAAAATGTGAATATACAACGACAGCGTTTGTGACAGTATATTATTTGCATTGCACATCTCAATGTACAAATCATACATTTTTTTAATGTTAACTGTTGGGTCAGGAGTTCAAGACGTCATCGAAAGAACCATGACGCTTAAGTGGAACTAGGCAGGGCACTCAGCCAGAACACAAGATGGACGGTGGACAAGACGTATTATGGAATGGAGGCCCAGAAACTATAAAAGAAGCCGAGGACCACCACCAACTAGATGGACCAATGATATAAAACGTGTAGCGGAAAACTGGTTACAAGCGGCCCAGTGTAGAGAACACTGGAAAGAACTGAGGAAGGCCTATGTACAGCAGTGGACGTGATTGGCTGATTGATGATGAACTGTTGGTCTAGATATATTCTTTTTGATTATTTCCTACAATAATTTGCCTCTACGTATGGAAAAGATTATATGTGTTGTGATATTACTTCCCACTCTTTCCTGGTAATGCGATATTTGGTTTCTTTCTCTCTTTTATCAGATTGTTGTGTGCCTGAATCACTTTTTTGTTGATGCACAGTATATAATATGAACTTTTGGCTCAAATTTTTATTTTCTTTCTCGAAGTACTACTCAAATGAAAAATATTTGTAGTTTGTTTCACTACTGCGTTTTCTTTTAACTAAAATTATCTTTGTCACATTTAATATAAATGCATACTTTCTATTTTATTTCAATGAGTAATACCTATTTTTCGTCCCCAATCTTTCTTCGGCGTTAAATTCTTCATTACTTAGGAAACGACATTTTGGTTGCAAGCTGTCCGTGTATTAGTTACTTTAGCAGGCCTAGCTATACCATTAGCACTGATGTAGCTTTTTCCTTGTCGATAATTCTCCCTCCGTTGTGTTTTTTACACATCTGGGGATTCCACTTTCGTTTTCGAGTCCTATTTCAGTACTTCGTTGGGTTTTGTTCAGAGTCTGATTTGGAACTTGAGGTGGAAAGTGTGTTATTGACTCCTTCCCTCACACTTGCTACACTTTCATCTAAAGCTTTAGAAGACTCCAAAGTTTCGAAATTTATCATAAAAATTATTTGTCAGTCAAGACAGTAAGAAGTATACTTCAATAATATATTTTTGTTCATAAGTTTCGTTTTAGTTTTTATAACAGTTCGCATAAACGTGTACCTGCCACTCTATAAAGGATGTATTAAAATTGTTTCATACTTTTATAAAAGTGTACCTTCTTTTTACTGGTACTTTAGGAATAAGTACCCGCTGTTTCTTATCACAACTGGTATTCTCTGTGTCAGAATCACTAGAAATTCGAACGGTAGCCAGCGACCGCCTAAAAATGTAAGGTTGTATTTTTTTCGAAATGCAAAGCGCAATGTTTAATAGGTTACCAGTTCTTTCTACTGCTCAAGACTTATTTTCGGACACAGAGGACATTGCAAAATAAGAAAATGGTTATTTTAACTGAAAAAACTGATATTGAACTTTCACCAATACTCTCTAGTATAATCTTAAATCATTTCGTGCGCTTTTAAATATATTTCACTGTTGGTTGTAGCGCTATCTGTCAACGAATGGCAGAACTTTCAATTAAATTCTATGCAGATATCAAAGAATAATAGACTTCTGTTAAAAAACAAATTTTGTAAAAACTGTCGCTTAGAAGCCTATGGTTCTCAGCTTTCCTAATGACTCACAGGTATCGATAAGCATTGACGGCATAGTTTCCAAAGTTGTTATTACATATTGTAGTATTGTTTTATTTGTAATTCATGAGAGAGAAAATGTCGATCCGATACTCAATTTCCATTCCTGTCAGTGGTTTCATTGCCTCCCTATATACTTGTATTTACTTGGTTTTCCTGGCATTTTGTCTCACACAATTTATTTTTCCGCAAATCGCTAGGAAATTTTGACATTCCTGTCAAAATTTCTTGAAGAAAAAGTCAGGACTTCCTTACTGTAAGGAAATGTCATTTCCTTACTGTAAGGAAATGATATTTCCGTACAGAGATGTTAGTGTTCTACATACATAAGCGTCAAGTTTGACAATTCAACCCTCAATACGTTTCCATAGTAACCCAAGTAATTTTATTAGGAATTTCAAAGCACCATTTATTTGGGAATAAAATTATCGCGTTTTTTTTTAAATCAATCAATATCTGTCGAATTTTAAACGATTTGCGGAAAAATAGTATGTTTACCTCGTAGGAAAAGCCACATTCCTGGACTCTGTGTTGCTAATTCTCGACTTGCGCCTCGACTTAGCAATCTTCACAGTCGTCCAGGAATGTTAAGCTTTTCCTACCCGGTAAACAATGTACTATTTCTTTGCTGCAACTTTTTTTTTTCGTTTAAATATATTTAACTATGACTTCTTTTATTTCGAAGTTGAGTTATTTTAGGTTTAATGTTTTTTCCTTGGACTATTCGTTCTATTGTATCTGTCTTTTATTTATTCTCGTTTCTACATCGTACAACGAATTTTTAGTTCTTCGTCTAATAATCAAAAAAAAAGTCTTGTGGTAGTATGAAACTTTTACTTTTATGAAATTTAATTTCAACAAAAAGGAAATTAACTGTTACAATATTCTGCTGTACTATTAACATTGAAAAGAAAGTTAAACCGACGTACCTCAATAATCAATTACGTAAGTGGTAAGAAGAAATTGTCATAAAATTATGTTATACGGTGTGGTAAATATAAAAATTGCAAAATATTTATAGTGATGGTCTAAAGAAAATCGGCATTAAATCAGTCCTAGATTGCATAGTTTAGCCATTAATTGGTATTATTGTCAAATACATCTTGTTGCAAATAAAACATTTAAAATTGCCATTCTAATTTTGATAAACATTTGAATGAAAATAGCCAAAAAATCATTTTGGCCATAATTCAAATTGTCTGCAAAATATTTGTAACAATGTTTTATTTTTATTTTCAATTTTAAAAGCTGTTTTGACATAAAAAACAAATATTAGTAAATTAAATTACTAAATACGGAATAATTAAGATCAATTATACTTTGTCTATAAACTAATCAATTAGTTCTAAATACAAATAGATAAGTGATACCTCTAAGTTTGTTCGTACATTAGACTACTAATAAAACTAAAGTTATTCCAAATTATCAGATCTATACAATAAATCTAGTTGTTCAATCAACACTGACTGATTTGCTTTATTTTAGTAAGATCTTGTCAGTGTTTTAGGGCCTTGCCGAAATAACACGACTACAACTAGACCATTACTATCAATTAAATTTAAATTACATACAGACACATACAAACCTAATTTTTAAAGGTTTTGACGTTTTTTGGTTCTACACCATCCCCTTTTACTCTTTGATAATGATTTTTAGTGATAAAAGAAGAGAACTGTCATTAGAAATCACAGAGAATATGGGACACCACTATTATGAGGTACTTTTTTATGATCCCGATAGAGGGTAGACCTATTTTAGAGATTTAGTATCACTTCCTACGCTGGCTTCTGGTTTGTCCCCACTTTCTACTTCTAAGGAAACTGGCCCAAACTCCTGTATTCTCCAACACAAACTCCAAATCACTTCCCTATATCCTCCCCCGGACACTTCCGGTCAACTCGTCATCTCAGCGTGGTCAGTTATGGCCAACACACACTAAATGTGTTTTAAAACAAAACCTCTAGGAGGTCAGCCTCATGTGATCTGTGGGAGGCAAAAACTCAATAAAACACCTAAAGTAACATATTTATATTGCTTAAATCACCTGAAAAAATTGAATAATGGAATAACTGGAAGAAGAACCAGGATCAAATGAGATGTCCTTGATCTAAGTGAAATAAGACTACCATCAGAGCAATGTACAATACTGCATTCAGATCTACTGTTCTATCAGTTTTAAAAAGCCATAGATCACAGATCACCTACCTCCCTAGATGTTCCACGACAATACTTTAGTTGGATATGAAATTCAGCGCTCCATAAGATTAGTATCGGAACTAATTCAAGCGAGAAATTACGCGGGAAATTCAAATTTTAATGTTGGTGGGAAAATTTAAATAAAGTTTAAAATTTTTAAATATAATTTGGTATATTTGAAAAAAAAAAATGCATGACATTTTTAATTTCAAATATACACAATACAATTTAGGAAAAATAAAACAAAATGTAATTTATTTATTTATTTAATACTTGTAAAACAACTTTGTAAATTAATATAGAATAAAAATATGCTATTATCACTGAAAATTGTACAATTTTAGGGAAAAAGCTTACAAAAAAGTCAGAAAAATAGCAATTTAAAATTTACTGAAATTACATAAATCGTCAATATCACAAAATAAAAAATAATAAAATACACAATGTATTGCAAAATTTAAATAAATTGCATAATAAATCCTTACGAACTAATACATTTTAATACAAGTTTCTGCATGTGATATTCAAATATATATTTATACAAATTGTTTAGTTACTTGTACATAACACTATTCGTTAAGAAACTCTTCTACTGAATAATATGATCTTTCAGATAGATAGGATTTTGTTCTTTTACGGAACTCAAGGAAAGAAGTTGCAGATTTAAGTTCATCAATCAGTTATTTGTTCTCTAATATCAAATATTTA